TTATAAGAACATTTTAGAAGGCAACTCTCGACTCTTTGGATACCCTCCATCTGTCCATTTCCTCACTGTAGATCCAAGGCCTGTTGACCAGGAAATCTTCTTCCTGAATCAGTACAGGACCAATACCCCAGTACGGGGTTAGGGGGTGCTATGCTGCTGGAGGGGTATTGTGGAGGGGTTTGCTACTGTAGATGCAGAATCAGGAACCAGTCTAGCAAACCCTTTCTCACACAGATAGATCCATTGACTTTGTGGAGATGACTCATGTGAGCAAGGCCTAGCCACACAAGAGTTTGCCAGATCAGGCCCTCAGAGAGGTCATTTGATGAGAGCTAAGAAAGTGCTCTTAGTTCTGCTACCCAGACCGGGGAGGGAGGGGGGGTTTACAAGTGTGCTGCACTGCGTGAACTGTGCTCCCAACTGCATTACATTTAAATTGTGGGTGGGATTTTTGTGATCAGATGACCAACTGCAGCATGCCAAACAAACAAAACAAAACAAAACAAAACTGTGAGACCATTGTGAAAAGCAACAGGGCAGTTGCCAAGAAAATCTCCCACAGCACATCCTGCTGGACTGATTAGTTTTGCTATAAACATGTCATCCCCACAAAGACAAATGCACAGAAATACTTTTAAGGCTATGAATTCTGGTGCCACAATCACTAGAAAAAAATGTACACACATCATGCTCATCATCAGCCACGCCTGTAAGCAGAGAATGTGACACCAGTGAGTAAGATTTCCAACCCTCCAGGATTACCCTGGAGTCTCCAGGAATTAAAGACTAATTTTTAATTAAAGATTATGTAATGTGATGAAACCTCCAGGAAACCAAACCAACCAAAATTGGCAACCCAACCAGTGAGATGTTCTCAGTCCTACCCTAATTGCCTAGAGCTGTGGATATTTTCCACATCAGGTCTCATTTACATACTAGTACCTCCATCCCCCACCCTCCTCCAATCTAGCAAGGAGCCCCTTCCCATTTAGCAATATGAAAAGGACAAAGTGATCACAACGCCGACACCTGTTTGTGACACTACCTCCAAGAGTCACAACCCCAGGCAAAGAAGCCCTGGCTTAGAAACTCTTCACAGGAACTTATAACTCGTGGGGAATTTATTGCACAAACATGAACACTATCATTAAAGGGCCAGTAAAGGTTGCTGGGAGAGGGTTCCTGACACAGCTATAGCTAAACCTTGTAAATTATTCAGAAACATCAAGTTGTGCACATAGCTGCTTGTGCAACCACATGATCTCATTGTTACCCTCATCCTCCCTCATTTTTCCCCCTCTGTTGTTTGTTCTGTTCACTTGCTGCACAATGTTGCAATCAGATGTAAACTCTTCGAGATAGGTGCTCTGTAGACACAGATATATGGGCCCTAACGCAAAGGGGCCCTGATCCCGATCGAAGCCACTGGGCACAGCCTCAGTGGAAATATTAAATAATAATAAATGATGCATAGGATATTTTTAGAGTCTGAACCTCCTTGCAACCACATGGGGTTGGTGGGAAACACCCTTAGCAGCAAACAGGAATAAATAAAGAATGTTTTGGTGGTTTGGCTTGATTTTTCTCTGTGTTTCTAGGAATTGTTAGACAACATCTGGATAAATTCACACTGTCCCTTAATACTAAAGCAGGAGCACAACCTCTTTATATAATCCACTGTTATGGTTCTCTCCCATATACAAAGAGGTAACCATATACTTTCAGCCTGAATGATTTTTTTATAGGGAAACAATCAAACAAGAGGGAACAAGAGTGATGTCTCCATGAGAAGGCACAGCATGCGTGCCATTTCTGTAACATTCTGCATGGAACAGCAGCTGCCCTCTAGGCTGACAGCCTTGTTAGAAAGGAAAAGGGGAGTACACAGAAAACAAATAATACTAGCTACAGAGCAATCAACCCCACATTTACCTTGTATTGTGTTTTTCATAATTGTACAGTACTGGTAAGCGGCCTTTTTTTCAAACTCAGCAACCATGTTTTCATGACTAATGATACTTTGTGTGCTAGAGCTCTTTTTCAGCAAAGTACTTCACAAAGGTTGGTGAGGGTTACTGCCTCCGTTTACAGATGGGTAAACTAAGGCACAGATCTTAGTTAAGTGAGCAGCCCAAGTTACTTTATGAGATGGTGGCAGAGATAGGAATAGATCTTAAATCTCCTGCTGACAATCCATTAGATCAGCAATACGAATCACAGATGCGAAGAGTGCGGGAGGGTTTGTCAGATTCTCATGTAACTCAAACACATGGCTAGCCCTCGGACCCTTCCCTGCTGTCCCCTCTCCCCCGCAGCCTCAGCTCGCCGAGCCGCCAGCGCTGTGGGTGGTGGGGCTGCGAGCTCCTGCCGGTCAGCGCGGCGGCGGGGCTGGCTCCGGCCGGGCAGTGCGGCTGCCAGGCCTGCTGCTCTGAGTGGCATGGTAAGGGGGCAGGGAGCTGGGGGTTGGATAAGGGGCAGGAGGTCCTGGGGGGCAGTTAGGGGACAGGGAGCAGGGGGTGGTGGGTGGGGATGAGGTCCTGGTGGGGTGGTTAGGGGCGGGGGATTCTGGGAGGGGGCGGTCAGGGGACAAGGAGCAGGGGGTGTTGGATGGGTCGGGAGTTCTGAGGGGGTCAGTCAGGGGATGGGAAGTGGGAGGGGGCGGATAGGGGGCAGGAGCTAGGCTGTTTGGGGAGGCACAGCCTTCCCTATCTGGCCCTCCATACAGTTTCAGAACCCCGATGTGGCCCTCAGGCCAAAAAGTTTGCCCACCCCTGTTTTAAATCTTAATCAGTCAAGGTAGACGTGCAAGCTGTGGTTCTCAAACTGTGGTTTGTAAACTCAGGCTATGTTTTCACTGCAGAGTTAATTCTAGTTATCTATCCTCAAGTTAACTTCTCTTGAGTGAGCCTAACTAAAGTGGTCTCTTGAACCCTCTCCGGACAAAACATACTCAGTGCCAAGCGGCAGGGGGAAGTGGTTTGCAGAATGAAATCAATGATAAACCACTCATAAAATCCAAGAAATCAGAGATGGCAGAGGCCTCTTAGTTCACGTATCAGGTGCCCTACAGCATGTTTATATACTACATGCAACTGAGTATATGTGTGTAAAAATTAATACACATGGGGCTGAGATTTCACCTTCAGTCCCACTGGAGTGAGCCCCAAAGGAGTTACTGTGTGTTGACTCCTGTGTGACTGAGAACAGAATTTGGCCATGAGATTTTAAGCAGTGCTTAAGGTGAGGGGGGGGGGGGGGCAGGGGACACAGACCCAGGAAAAAAAAATTGAGCAGAGTTGCTGATAGACCCCCTACTCCCACTTCTTCCAAACCACTGTAAGTACTGGTTACAGAAGTTTAAATTATAAAGTACAAAGGCAGAGAAAGTGGCCAAAGGAAAAAGCAAATTCGGGCTCACTTTCCCTTAAGTGCAGGGTACTTCTTTTCCAAATACACCTCTACCCCGATATAACGCTGTCCTCGGGAGCCAAAAAATCTTACCAGGTTATAGGTGAAACTGCATTATATCGAACTTGCTTTGATCCGTCGGAGTGTGCAGCCCCGCCCCCCCCAGAGCACTGCTTTACCGTGTTATATCCGAATTCGCGTTATATCGGGTCGCGTTATATCCGGGGAGAGGTATACTAGTGAAATATACAAGCAACAAAGGACCTGATCCAAAGGTCATTGAAATCAATGGAAAGACTCACATTGTTTGACTTCAGTGAGCCTTGAATCAGGCCCACAGCTAATACACACCTTGCAACTGTGTGTGATGTAAAACAACACATCCCAGAAAAGATACAAACAAAATAGTGCATCCCGAGAAAGGCAGATCAGAAATATGACCAGCATCATGATGTACTAATAGTGAGCCAAATCCTCAGGTCCTTACTCAGCTGTTAATCAAGAGTTTTGCTTGAGCAAGTGTAACCCACACATCTCCTGGGTGTGGTGTTCTGTCCCATCTAGTGGCACCAAGACCATGTAAAGAGAGAGATAAAATGAGTCTGCTCTAGAGCCTTAGCTAACAGCCAGCTGACTTTTAGCTCACGCACTAAGCTCCAGAGGTCTCAGGTTCGATGACGACTGGGGTCTGTCGGTGTTACACAAGGGTAACTGGTTTTGGCCCAGGGATCTGAAAGCCTCCCAGGCTTATGCCCTAGCCACTGGGCCATCCTTCCTTTCATACCACCAGGATCAACACCGTGTGGAGCGTAGTACAGGCACAGCTATCTCTGTGGGTGCGCAAAAGGTGCCCAATTGAAAAGATGTCCATCTCTGGGACGGACAGAGGTACCTATCTATCCTTTGGGCATACGAGGGGTGTTCAATCTAGGTGCTCAGCTGAGTGGGGGTGGAGCACAATGGTATCTATCTATGTTGGTGTACAAGGGGAGCTCATATCTGGGCCCTAATTGGTGGGGGGGGGGGAGACAGTGGTGCTGTCTGTGTGCTACTCTGGGGGTGCCCATCTCTGGGGGACACACACAATGGGTGCCTATGTATTTCTGTGCCGGGGTGCCCATCTCTTTCTGTGCCAAGGGTGCCCATCTCTAGAGGGGGTCACACCGGGGGTGCCCATCTCTTTCTGTGCGGGAGTGCCCATCTTTGGGAGGGTACATGGGGGGTGCCCATCTCTTTCTGTGCCATGGGGGGCCCATCTCTAGAGGGGGGGGTGCCCATCTATATCTGTGCAGGGGTGCCCATCTCTGGGGGGAGGCACGGGGGTGCCCGTCTATTTCTGTGCAGGGGGGGTGCCCATCTCTGGGGAGGGGTGCACGGAGGGTGCCATCTATATCTGTGCAGGGGGGGTGCCCATCTCTGGGGGGAGGCACGGGGGTGCCCGTCTATTTCTGTGCAGGGGGGGTGCCCATCTCTGGGGAGGGGTGCACGGAGGGTGCCCGCTCTGGGTGCCCCACGGGACCTCCCAGACTGGGCGGCGCTGCTGCCCCGCGCCCTGCGGGCCCAGCCCGGGACCGGTGTCGCTGCAGACTCACCGCGCCTCCAGCAGCAGCCGCTCCCTGCGATCCTGGAGCGCGGCGGCGGCAGCCACGGCCCTGGGGTGCCCGGGATGGAGCCGCCGGCCGGCCGGGCTGCGCATCTCCCGCCGGGGCTGCCTGCAGGCGGGCGGGGCCGGGGGCTGACGGGGAGCCCTGCCCCGCGCATGCCCTGCCCACTGCGGCCGCCTCCCTCGGCAGCTTCGCTCGGCACCTGGCCGGGACCCGGCATTACAGCGGGGGGG